AAATGAAAAGTCTTTTTATATTCCAAAAGATTAGTGCAGGAATGATGTGAATTACACAACGCAGCACAGATGGTTAATAACCTCCCCCCCCCCCCACCACCACCACCACAACCACAGAGACATAGGAGAGCGATCCGCTGACTGGCCAACTGACTCACAGCTGACAGGTTCACATGGGGCGTGTGGCACTCTGGCTCCCCCCGGTGGATGCAGTCACAGGGGCACATAACACTGTCACTCGCACTGAGTCACGCTGATCGCACTGCTAAAAGGAGAATTCTCCTTGGCAGTACAACAGACGGCCCATATCAGTGGCGCTTAGAAAGCTTAGCCACCCTCGCATACTAATTGGAAGTATAAATCTGTTAACGGGAAAGACGGAGCCTTCTGGAAATTTCTTCAGGTAGTAAAATGTTATACCTGTAAGGTATAATGAAGCTCCTACTTATGTTACGTCCCCTGACAAGGCAACACTTTCACTCTCACACACTCTCACTCAGATGCCCCCCGCCGACAGGGGGGGTAGATTAATGGGGGCTGGATGAGTGTGTCAGTCCCAGCCCCCCCCCCCCCCCGCAAACATGCACATTCCACTCCCGCATGTCATTCTTGCGACGTTTTTCTGAGCCCTATTAATAGTGGCAGGGCGGGGTGGGGGGGCCACACCCAGGTCTGGTGGATAAATACGTCTCGCTGGCAGACATCCGCGAGCCCCCAGTGTCTGACAGAGGACTGAGTGGGACGGTTCCTGCCGGAGGGAACTGGAGCGGGATCTGAGGAACGCCGCCGACGGAGACGAGTCGTCCGGGAGAGACGGGTCTAAGCGGGTGGAGTCGGACATGGACCCCCAGGACAAGCCCTGCCTGGACCCAGCGGCGGTGCTGTCCCCGCTGGGCGGGGCTCGGCTCTGCCAGGTGCTTCTAGCGGGTGCCACCGTCACCCTGGTGGCCTATGGGGCAGGTCACAGCAGCCCCTACGGGACTTTCTGCATGGCGGCATGGTGCCTGTGCCTGGGGGCATCGCTGACGGAGTTCCTGCTGGAGGCGACGCGGGCCTGGCGCCGGCTGCCCGTGTCCTGGCCTGAGCTGACCGCGGCAGCGACCATGCTGCTCGCCTTGCTGAGCGGCGCCGCTTCCCTCATCTACCCTCTGGTGTTCCTGCGCTCCGCCTGTCCATACGGTATTTGCGGGGGGCGGGACTATCGCATCGCCGCCACCGCCTGCTCCTGCGCCTGCTGCGCCGCCTTCATCGCTGAGCTCCGCCTCGCCCGCACGCGCCGGGGCCGCCCGCCCGCCTACATGGCCACATGCCCGGGGCTGCTGAAGGTCGCCCAGGCCGCCGTCACCGCCGTCATCTTCAGCTTCCTGGCCTGCGACGCCGAGTTTGGCCACTACCCGCCAGCGCTCTACTGCGCCGCGGCCTTGGCCCTCTGCTTGGTTGCCGGCATGGCCGTGGTGGGGCTGGCCGTGTGCGGCAGACATGCGTCTTCATGCCTGGCAGCAGCCTGCGGCCTGATCGGTGCCCTTCTCCACGCCAGCGCCGTCGCCGTCTGGCACGTCTTCTGCCTGCAGACTCGGCGGCCTGGCACTGGGGGGGGGCAGGGCGGCTGTCCACGCGGGAGCTGCCCTTGGGACAGCCGGCTGGCGGTGGCTGCCTTCGCCTACGTCAACCTGCTGCTGTACGCCGCCGACTGCGCCTGCACCCTGAGGGCCTGCTGCGCCTCCCGCCGTTCCCGCGCCACGCCCTCGGATTCTACCGGACACATATCCTTCCTGAAGAACAGCCGGCGGCCACAGTCCACCTGTACCCCCCACAGAGTCTACCTGGTCTCCTAACCCCCTTGCAGAC